CTTAATTAAAATTGTGCAAAATTTGTATCTTTAAATAAAAGATAATAAAATTAATATTTTTAAATAAAAAACAATATAATTTATTACTTAATTTAGAAACCAAAAACATCATATACTTAAAATTAAAAAAATAAAAAATAAAAAAAGGATAAATTTTGTATCTTTTTCTGGACCTTTTCTCATTGGAGACCGACCCTCTCAATTGCACTCACCTCTTTAGCCTTCGAATTTTTATTTTAATTTAGTATTTTCAATTTTTTGACAACCAAAAAAACCTATAGTGGCAATGTTAGGTAACAGGCCGTAAGTTATGAAGCTTTCACCTAGACCAAGAAGCATAGTAGTTATAGAAATTAATACACGAATATATGGTTTATAGGGACATCAGTTTGTCCGTAGGACACAATAACACAACTTGATTTTAACAACAATGTCTAAATTAATCGTTTTTAAACATAGTTTACATGCACAGGAACATCGGCACTGATCTTTTTATTGCATATAATGGTATTTCAAAGTAAACATATTGTACAGCTAGCACAGACAATAAGAAAATGTTTTTGAGATTGAAATTCAGCTGGCAGCAGTAAATTGATAAGATGCATAAGAAAGGGTACCACGGCTCCAGCTATGGTGGATAAGCCTGCGCTTTGCATCTTCACTGGCAGCCCCCAAAGCCACATGCAATGGAAAGAAGTGCCCTGGCCAAGGGTGTGCCATCTTTGCATATGGTGCCTTCTCTTCATAGCGATTCACATCTTCATATCTACAAGAAGTAAACCACACTTAGACGAAACTTTATCAGATTGCAAAAAAGAGGCCATTAAATTGGGGGACTGCTCCAAATTAGGGGATCTCCACTCATTCAATGGATGAAGATGGATGAAGATTGATAGCCATAGCCAATCACTTTTTTGATGAATAATTACCTTCCTTCAAGGAGTGCATCTTTAAGCCAAGTTTCAAATGCCAGAGCCCAAGGAACAACTGAACCATCACCCGCATACTGTTTGAGAGCCCTCAAGCTGTGAGTGGCGCTTCCTGAACCAATGATAAGGACACCTTCCTCTTTGAGAGGGGCCAATGCCTATCCCAATTTGTAATGATAAGTGCTATCCTTTTCTGGCATAACGGGGAGCTGGCAAACAGGAATATCAGCTTCTGGATGCACAGCATGAGTGGAACCCATGCACCACGGTCAAGCCCACGTTTCCTATCTTCATCAACATGCTCAAAACCAGATGCCAACAGTAATTCCTTCACTGTCTTTGCCAACTCTGGAGCTCCTGGTCCTGGATACTTTTAACAGTTAATAGGGGAAAAGGCGTTAAAAAAGATTGCAGACGAATGCTAGCGTTAACGTAAATCCTATCATTACCCAGCAAAATCACGTACTAAATATCCACTGTTTTATTGAGGTATCTAATTAATCTTGTTACTTTACCTCAATTCTTCTTCAACAACATTGAAATTGTCACAGTACCATACTTTCATCTAAAAGTAAAGTTTCAAGTAGCATTTCAATTTTAACTCAAATCATCTCCATCACAAGCATGAGCCCCTTTGTAACCCATGCGAATGAAGTAATTCTTGAAATACTAATGAATCAAAAATGTTTGAGCCTAGAAAGAAAGAAATTACATTTTTTTTCAATAATCACAGACTTAACCTCAACAAAGGATAACCCCTAAGAACATAGAGACCCCACCAACCACCATAAAAAACCAAAATTAGCCTCTTTAATCCATAAGCAACGATCAAGTTTCATCTTTTTCATAAAAGCTAACCCTTAAATCATTCAAGAAACAAAAAATTTGCAGTTCTATGAAGTTTTTCAAGGGAGGAGAAGAAACGGGTACCTGGTACTTTTCCTTGGGGAAGCCATTGAAGTCATGGATGGTTTTGTTGCGTCGAACGACATTGACGGTGGGAACAGAAGTCTCCCAATAGCCGGTAACGACGTGGATGGATTTGGGTCTCTGGGTAAGGAATTTGTCCTTCAATTTTTTTTTTTGGTACAGGAATTTGTCCTTCAATGATTTCGGGAAATGCTTCTCCGGCAACGACTCATCTGTTATTAATTATTAATTTTATTTAAGTTATGATTTTTTTACTAGGTGATTACTATCATTAATTATTAATTTTATTTAAAATTTCTTAGTTGAAAGCTTCAACAGTTCAACCTCATTGTAGGCCAAACTGACAAAAAAATTCAGGTCTTCCAATTTTTGCCAAAAGGCCGTTTTTTAAAAGGAAAAAAGGGACAGAAGAAAAGGCCTTTTTTTGATATAAAACTTTAAATACTTAACATATAATTTTTTGTTTAATACAAACGGTCGGCAGAACCGATAGTGTTTGTTTATCATCGTATGATGTTGGACCTGAAATTAATTTTTTTTATTAATTTATCGATAATTATATTAAATTTTGATTAATTTAAAATCAAATTAAATCAAATTTTATTAAAAAAAAATTTCTCACAATACTTATTTTTTTATTTATAAAATTTAAATTTAAAATTTGACTTTAAAAAAAATAATCTTTTCTACTCAAAATAACAATTTGTTGGTAACTTAAAATTAATTGATTTGACAAGTACGATGAGACCAATCTTCTAGTTATTCCCTTCCAAGTAAATTTAGGAAGCGTTTACTGTTGTAGTTGTGGTAAATTGGGTTGTGTTATAATTATAATTAAATAATATTTTACGTTTTTGTTATTTATTTTTAAAAATTATTATAAATAATATAT